TATTTGGATATCCTTTTGGAGCACTCTACGAGGAGTCCAAAGGGAAAAGTAAACCCCTACAGGGGGTTTCCTTTTTCATTTGGATACCCTTTTGGAGGAGTCACTACGAGGAGCCAGAAGGAAGAACGAAGATGATCCAAAGACGAATCAAGGAAGAGAAGAAGAAGACTGAAGAAATATAAAAATGCCTTATTTTAAGATTTGCGTCGTTCCCGGGTTGTTGTCGGTGGAGCCCGGCCACCTTTACTTACTGTATTCTGTGATGTAATATTGTATGACACTTGCCATGGACACTCTTTTTCGTGGGATTTGTTTCTGTGTTGTGATTTACTTACTTTATTTGCGCAGTAGAACCGGCATGTTTTTCATAGGTTTGTTTCTTGCATGTGCTTGTGTCTGACCGCTAGGCTCTTTAGGGATAAAATTTTTATACTCGTAATTATTAAATAAAAAAAAATTAAGATTAACTCACATAGAAACATAACGACTTTAGGGAATAGCCGGAATCGTCCGGGGGCGCATGCACGCATTCTCTCTTCTATTAGACAAACTTCCCCGCCTGCGGGTAGAGTCCGGATAATCTGGCCTATGAGGATGAAGTGCCGGACCTGGGGAAGTTTAGTCATTCAAAAATTATTTTATAAAGCCTTTTTTAAAATTCATACATATTTGATTTGGAGACTTTAACCAGCATAAATTGCATTAGTAACTAATTAAAATCAAGATTTAATTGCATTAGTTTTAGGAGCATTATACCACTCATAAGTGTGGGATCAATTAGGGATTTCTTTAGTTGTCGATCCCAATTTCAGTCTAAACTACCCACCCATCTCTCATACAGACTGGATAGCATGGATTTTACACGACTAGGAGGTTTTAGCTGGCTTCCTTTGTCAGACAAGGTATAAGTCCAGGATTGCATTAGCTAGGTCGTAGATGTTAGTGTCGTGTGTACGACACTATATCTTTTATAGATTTAGGGTCTAAAGGTGAGTGGTACGAGTGAACCACTATACACCTTATTGGTGGGTAAGCTTTCCTTCCTTCTGAAAGCTATAAATCCTACCTATCCGCGTTACACAGATGACGCCACCTCCCTCTTTCTCTCATGCTTGTTTGAATGCGTGGCCTCTTTCTTTTCTCCTCTCTCTCTTGCTTGGACCCCCCCCCCTCTCATGAGAAATGAGGGCTCTATTTATATATTTTCTGGAGTGGCATGACGCGTAAATAGTCGCGAGATCAAGGGCGAATTGGGAGTGGTCAAATGGACGGCCGATGTTGAATCCTATGATCGTGCACCGTTTGTTGATCATTTGAGGGCCTTAGTGATATCAGAATTCAGTGATCTTAGGCTTGTTGGATTCTTCTCGTCGAGCCGTTCGATTCGAGTATAAGATCGTTAAAATCGGACACCGTTTGGTAACTCAAACAGTGCTACGAAGCTTACAACAGCGCTTGGAGTCCTTAATTTGGGCTCATTTGGGCTCGGATTGAGTTGAATTTGGTGTCGTTGGATTCGTATTTACGAGACGCTCAGTTTGACTATAAGCTTGTTGAAATCGGAGTTGAGATGGTCTCCGGATTAATTTTAGAAGTTTCCAACTCAATTCTGCATCGAGATTTGTGCCCGATCAAGATAAATTTTGACGATGTATCAAGTATGTATTTATATTCGTCGATGGGGATGATTAAGGTTTTATTTGGGACAACCAGCTTTTTGCTGCTTCTTGAAGCATGGTATAAAAATTATTTCAAGAACTAATAAAAAAGCCACCCCAAACGAAGCCTAATACTTCATTTGAGATGACTTCCTTACCATTTCTTAAAGCAGCTTTCTAACTCGTACTAGAATGTTGTTTTAAGAAACAACAACCAAAAAATGCCTAAGACTTGCAAACCTGACAATACTCGATTCCTAATCTTTAGATATATAATTGTTCCCTTAGCGTTATGTATTTATAGTTAGTCTATATTAAAGATTCATAGGGAGTTTCCTCTTCATTTCATGATACTATAAAGTATGGCAGTTGGCTATTAATGTTTATGTACTTATATTTGATTAACTTTGCATGGATTCTTTAAGTTTCGTTTGTGACAGTTTTTTTACTGTTTCATAAAATAATTTTTTAGTATAAAAATTAAAATTGTTTTATTAGAAAGCTGATTTATGTGGTTGTAAAAAAAATCGTCGTAAATAAAATTTAAATTTCTTACTATTGTATGGATCTTATCTATGTGCATAGTTGATATAGTAATTTAATAATGAAAGATTTCTTATATATTGCAGTGATCAATTTTCATGTATTAATTTTTTGTTGTAGATTAATTTGTAATTTGAAAGAAAAAATCTATTTTGGATTATAAAAGAATATAATTGTTTTTTTATCCGCTCTTTTTTTTCTTTTTTTGGTAACGGGGGTATCGGTCCGTTGTTACGTCAGCTTGTGACGCGCTTGACGATTTCCACTAATCTCTCGGCGAGTCTACCAATAACCAACCCCACAGGTGCAGGACCCACAGTTATTTTCTCTCCACTTAAGGAATCGTGCCGTATGAGAGGAGATTCGAACTTGGGATGGTGGGTTCTCAATCAAGCACTCCCACCAACCCATCTAAGCCGGTGGGGTATTTATCCACTCTTTTGATCAATGTTAAGAAAATTTAAGGAATCTATAAATTTATATTATCTTCTTTGAAATATTTTGCCATTGTCTTCAACGAAGTTAAAATATATAATTAAATATATTATATTATGAATTTTTATTTTAAAGTTTTTATTCAAAAATATACGTGCAACAAAACTAATAGAGCTAAAATTAAGAACATTTTATTTAACGACTTATATTGATTTATTTAAAATGATTTGCAAAAAAAGTATTATTTTTAAATATGTTTAAAATTATAATTAAAAAAATAGAAATGGCCACAAATGAAGTTGAGAGCAAAATAACAAAAATAAGAAAGTCAAGTTTCTTAGTCTTTACGCTGTTTTAAGTTTTAAGAAAGACAAGAGGCTAGGTTTGCAATTTTTTTAATGTGAAGGGGTTTATTTGTAATAACCTCGAATAGTTAAGAGAAGCAGGCGAAACCGAAGAAAAACTGAAGCCGAGTAGCCGACCCGTCCTCCCTCGCCTTACTTACCCCCATCGTCCCCGGCCGCCGTACCCTTTCCTTCATCTCCGATCATCGAAACCCTAACCCTGTTATTCTTCATCGAAGTTCACCCAAGCTATGTCATGGAGCTTGGGTTGGAAACGAGCATCCGAGATCTTCCACCTTACACTTGACTACGGTGACTCCAGCGACAATGCTGACGATCCGCCCCCTCCTTCCCTGCCTACTCAGCCTCCAGAGCCTCGTCCCTCCTCTAACGAGCTCGGGTTCCGGATCGATCTCGAGTGGTCGGCCGGAGATGACGAGGAGCAGGTCGCACTCCGCCTCCAGTCGCAGCTCATGGTCGCGCTTCCCCCGCCTCAGGACACAGTGCTCGTTGATATTCATGAGAACGGTGGAGACGAGGGGGAGAACCTCGTTGGCGTGCTGATGAAGGTGATGAAGAGGCGGGAGCCGCTGCGGGGCGTGACGATGTCTAAGGCGGCGGGGTCGGGGCAACAGAGCGACGGGGTCGGGGTTTTGACACGTCTGCTAAGGTCAGATCTTGCGTCAACGGGGAGCAGAGATGGGTTATCCAGTTTGTCGGAGCATTGGGGGGCCGTGACGGTTCTGAATCTCTGTGGATGCGGCTTATCGGTGAGTTTTTTTTTTTTTTTTTCGTGAATGTTTGGAGATTACAGTCCTCGTTTTGATGTTTTCTCTTATTTATTGAGTTGATCTTTAAACTTAGATTATCTTGACGCGTAATTAGGGCTGCTTCAATCCAATTTGTACCCGTTAGGTTCCATTTTTCTCGAATTTCGCATCTCTACTTCTGTTGATAAAAATCAGGTTTTACTCCCTTTTTTACTATAATAGCTGTTTTAATCTTCGTCGACTAATCGCAGTGGACTACTGCGTTCCATGTGCTTTATAACATTTTGTTAGTGGAAGTGAAATCGTGAAGGTTTACTTCATGTCCTTCTTCAATCAAGAGAGGAGCGATGCAAAGGTAAAATGAGTTATGTTTTTAGTACCACTCCTTGGCTCCAAAAGAGGGTCCATTTTGTTGTATTTGCGTCGCTTATGCTTTTGGTGGATCTTTGATTTTCCTTTCCTTTTTCAACGGTAATAGCTGCTTTAAACTTCTTTGATTAGAATTAATAGAGTTCCATGAGTTTTATCATATTTTATTAGTGGCAGTAAGCAAAATCATGAAGATTTACTTCTTGTTTTTCTTCAATGAAGAAAGGAGCTTTAGGCTTCGTAGCTTTCTAGCATAATTTTTTTTTGAAATCAGCGAAAAAATGGTCAAAAACTATCCCAAATGAAGCCTTAGAGAAATCACCAAATAAGCCAATAATTGTTGTTGTGGTTGGAGGTTCATATTGATATATGCCATTATCAATTATTCAACTTAAAAAGTCATGCTTTGCAGAAAAAAGAAAGCAAGAACCTTTCTTATTGTCATTTGTGTAGCAATTATGAGTTGTATTTCTTCGCAATTTCAAAAGGATTTACATGTATCAATTCACCGTGCTTGCTGCAACTGTCTAGTTTTACTTGTTGATTTTCTAGAAAGCTGAGTGAAACACTGAAAAATCAACATAATTAATAGCATTTTGGTGTTAAAGTCAAGATGGCTTATCTAGGTATGTGTTTGGTGGCTTAGCAAAAGCAAGGCACTTGTATGGTATTTATAAAAACTAAGAAGCATGTATAAACTTATAACATGCAATAAATTAGATCATATATTTTTATTATTCCTATAGACATAGTTATTAATGGTTCCTAGAGATCATTCCAGAAACTTTCTTATGCTTCATTCAGTGTTATTTTAGAATTTTATCCACATTGAGTTGATTCACTTCCTTGTTCTATTTTCTCTATTGACTACTATATTCTTGTAAAATTCTAACAGAACTTCTTTTGAAAAGTTATAACAATTTAGTTTAATTATGCAGCTTTTGCTCTCAGAGTTGTCAGTGCATGCTTGTGCAAGTATCTACTAGGTTATCTAGCATTTTTCCTTGTTCTTTCATTCTATCTTGTGACTGGGTAATTAAATGCGTGCCTTTGGTACACCCTACAATTGCTACTTAATCATAGAAACTGTATTTTTGAAGTAAAACCTTTGCTTGTGTGCATATGCATGTACACTCTTGAAAGCTTTGCTTGTGTGCATATGCATGTACACTCTTGAAAGCTTTGCTTGTGTGCATATGCATGCACACTCTTGTGTGGCATGCTTGCTTGGCGGTTAGTTTTAGCCTACTACTATAAAAGCGTTCATTTCTTCATCTCTCTGGCGTTAACAGGTATTGCCTGTAGAGTTGATGAAGCTTACGCTTCTTGAGAAGCTTTATCTGAATAACAATAAACTTGCACAGCTTCCACCTGAACTTGGTGAGTTGAGAAGTTTGAAAGTGCTAAGAGCTGACAACAATATACTGGTATCTGTGCCTGGTAAGCCCAATTCAAGTAATAATTTGTTTGTAAACAAACTTTAACCCCTCGTATATTTCTTCTTGCGCATTTATCACATTGGATATATTCATTTCAGTTGAGTTGAGGCAGTGTGTAATGCTAGTTGAGCTTTCACTAGAACACAACAAGCTCATTCGCCCACTTCTGGATTTCAGGTCATCCTATAAGCAGCATGCTCTGCAAAGCTCTCATGCTAATAGGTTTTCATACCTTTTGAATATGCCGATAAAGCTAAAATATCTTTTCAGTTTAATGGCAGGGCTATGTCTGAGCTTCGAGTTCTAAGACTATATGGTAATCCACTCGAGTTCCTTCCTGAAATATTGCCATTGCACAATCTTCGACGTTTATCTCTTGCCAATATTAGAATTGTGGCAACGGAAAATATTAAAACAGTGAATGTGCAAATAGAGGTAATGATTTCAGTTTGAAATCTTTCTTGGGCTGCTTAACTTTTGAATATACCTTAAGCCTTCTCTCTTGTGATTTCAGACAGATAATAGTGGCTACTTTAGTGCATCAAAACACAAATTAAGCCCCTTCTTCTCTCTTATTTTCCGATTTTCTTCATGCCATCATCCCTTGTTGGCATCTGCTCTAGCAAAACTCATGCAAGACCACAATAACCATTTAGCCATTAATAAAGAAGAAAATGCCATACGACAGCTTATAAGCATGATAAGCAGCGATAACCGGCATGTGGTACGCTCTTTTTTAGGTCAACTAATTTGATTAAGTATGTTTACTTGCATATTTTAATTCAAGTACGTCATTTGCATTGGTGAGCGCATATTTCAGGTTGAACAAGCTTGTTCCGCTCTTTCTTCATTAGCATCAGATGTTTCCTTGGCAATGCAGTTGATTAAGTCTGATATAATGCAACCCATCGAGTCTGCTCTTAAATCAGTTGGTCAAGAAGAGTTAATGTCTCTTTTGCAAGTCATGGTAAATTTGGCATTTGCTTCTGATAGCGTTGCACAGAAGATGTTGACAAAAGATGTACTGAAATCACTTAAGGCACTTTGTGCACACAAGAACATAGTGGTAATGCTACTTCAATTTGAATTGGAGCTTCTGGGAAATGTGCTTACAATAGCCACTGCTAACCAGAGCATGCATTTTGGCTTTGATTTTTTTTATCAGGTTCAACGGCTAGCATTATTAGTTGTTGGCAATTTAGCATTCTGTCCCGTGAACCGTCGTATGCTAGTTCAATCCGAAAGCTTGCGTGAACTTCTCCTACGCCTGACAGTCGCACCTGAGCCACGTGTATGCAAGGCTGCTGCACGTGCTTTGGCCATTCTTGGCATGTCATTTCTATTTCATGATTCAGACACGAAGCGCCATTTCTTTATGAATAACTTGTATTCATGTTCATTCTATATTTATCAACAGGTGAGAATGAAAGCTTGAGGAAGGCAATAAAAGGAAGGCCGGTTGGAAAGCAAGGGTTGCGTATTCTTTCAATGGATGGTGGTGGCATGAAGGGTTTGGCAACTGTACGGATGCTTAAACAAATTGAACAAGGCACTGGCAAGCGTATTCATGAATTATTTGACCTTATTTGTGGCACTTCTACTGGTGGCATGCTTGCAATTGCTCTTGGAGTTAAACAGATGACCCTGGATCAATGTGAAGAAATTTACAAAGAACTAGGTGATTACCAATGATTAGTCACCCTTACATGGCATTTCTTTTTTATTTATTTATTCTCTTTTAGATTGTGCAATGCCTTCTCATAATAGTGCTATTGATTTTTCATTCTCTAGGCAAAATTGTGTTTACGGATCCTATTCCAAAAGATAATGAAGCCGCAAGCTGGAGAGAGAAGCTGGATCAACTATACAAGAGTTCATCTCAAAGGTTTAGAGTTGTTGTTCACGGGTCTAAGGTATGGAATTTTAGGCGAGAACTTTTTTCTTTTCCTTTTTTCTTGGTCTCTTTTGTGCTCAGCAAACTTTCTCATGCAGCACAGTGCAGACCAATTTGAAAGGTTGCTTAAAGAGATGTGTGCAGATGAGGATGGTGATCTCCTAATAGATTCAGCTGTGAAGACGATCCCTAAGGTTTTTGTTGTGTCAACTCTTGTTAGTGTCGCACCAGCTCAACCATTTATATTCCGAAACTATCAGGTTCATCCACTGCAACATATTTTTCTTATTTCAATTACTTTTGGATTAAATATTCTATTGATTAGGGCATGGCTAGAGTAGTGATTAGGTTGCCTCCATTGTAACGTTGACAGGTTCAAATTTCAAAAACAACCTTTAGGCAGAACATAAACCATTCTCAAGTCCTTGCAATGGATGGAGCCTCGTGTGCTGAATATGTCATCATTTTTTGTTCTTGTTTGTATATGGTTTCTCAGGATGAGATATGCTTTTGCTAAAATTCATGTTTTGGTCATAATGTTTGTTATTTAAATGTCATGTCTAACATGAAGGAACGAAGTTTGTATGACAATGCAACTTTAAATCTAGTTGAAGTTCCTCCAAATAGGAGGCGCAGTTTAAGAGCTCATATGGGGTGATGGAATTATGTGGGTATGATTAACTAGTATTTAATATATAATATTATAAAACCGCTTAGATTTTAATGCTTGGGTAAAAAATAATAATAATAATAAAAAAGGAGGCTAAGTTCCTACGTAGTTATCCTGATGAATTACTGAGCATTTATGAGTTAAAATGTTTGCTAAGGATAACTGGCCTGGTGGTTTGATTGACATCAATCATAATTTTTTATTTGATCTGTATTGGTGAACGCCATGCAAAATTTGTGTTATATTAAATTTCTCTGTTGATAAAAAATGAAACAACAAGTTGATTTTTTCGCATAGTTATGTCCATAGGGTTTTTTATGTGGATTGGGAACATTATATCATAAGAAAAGCTATTTTTTATGTGTTTACCCCAAAACTTGGGATCATTATTCTAGTGCAATTTACCCCAAACTTTTTTATGTGAAACTTGATTAATTGTCTCTATCTTTGAATGACTTTTTTTATTCCTTTTGAATCTCTTCACACTCGCAAGATCACTATCTCTATTATTTGGGGTTATTGTTGGTTCTATTAAGAGCTCCACATCAAAGGAACTTTGAGTTTGAGGAAAGTATCTTTGAATGCAAATTGAATATATGACTAGCTTTTATCTCATATCTTTGGGTGTTCCGAGTAGCTGGTGCACAACAATCCTGTTGATGAGCTCGGTTTGATCATATGTTTGTGGATGAAATATTGTATTATGAGTATTATTCAAATATTCAATATGTCTCACAAATACTTCCAAAAACTACTAAGAAAGTTGAAGACTTTGTTTGATATAATTGAACTCAATAAATTGAAGCACTAAAATATTCTTTAAGATTAAATGAGTTCCTCCTTCTCCCATAATGTTCTATTTTCATGCCATGAGGACTATCACCTTCGAGAACCTATTCATCATAACAAAAGTGATTTGTAATTGCTATTGGTCATTGGCAACCCTCTTATGAAGTTTGTGGAGATGCTCTCCCATGGACGAGTTGGAACAGAAAGAGGAGTGCATAATCCTTTCCTCTTGTTTAAAGGTTTTGGAGTACAACAAAGTACACATTTATTTAGGAATTTGGCCACTTCAAGATGCATTCTTGGCTAATTCAGTTATCTCTGCATGTTTTGTGGCATCTTTGTCAGCCCAATGTGTCATGCGTGCTTTTCTTATCTATTTCACCCACTAAAATCTTTAGAAACAAAGGTGATTCCCATTATATATAAATCACTTTTTGATGGTAAATCCTTTCTCTCAGGCTCCTAAAATTACTCGAAAGTTTTCATCAAGCTTGCACGTAGTTGCAATTCCTCTTGCCAAGATGGTTGTAGTTGCATTATTGCCATTAAATCATTGGTGGTTGAGAGAGCATGCTCATCATCTTATCATGCACTCCCTTATGTACCTAGTGACCAAATTAAAATGTTGGAGGTGCACCATTCACTTCTTATACCTCACTTGCTAAAACTTTGACTTTTCTTTGGAGTATTGAAGTGGTTTTTGGTTCGTATGAACTACAATCTCTTTCTTAAGTAGATTAGGTTGCCAGTACTTCATTGTCGTGTGAAGTGCGAGAAATTTATGATCATAGGACAGATAATTTTTCTGCAACTTGGAGCAACCAAAATAGTATGCTTCATGTCTCCCTTATTGCATCAAAATTTTTTCGAAATAATTTTTTCAAATTTGTCAATGCTAAAGCTGACATCTTGCTACCTTCTTTTTTAAAAAGAAAAAAACACGCTCTCATGTTTTCCTTGTTAGGAAGAATTTTTGTTGGACATTTTTAGTGAATTTGGTGTTTTCGTAAGTACAATGAAGTTGCTACAACAACAACATCATCAAGTCTTTATTTCACTACGTGGGTTTGGCTATATGAATCCTTATTCTCCATTGTGTCATCTAAGGTGACTCTACCTATTCTTATCTGTCACTCCAACATTTTCACGTATATACTTGTTTCACATTCTACCTCTAAGAGTAAAAGCCAATCATTCACCTCAGTATACTCATCTTTGCAACACTTAACTTAATTTTATGCTTCTCTTTTTATGACCAACATTCGGTGCCATTAAGCATTGCAGGTCTCATTATCATGTTATAGAAATTTCCCTTAAGTTTGAGGGGGTATTTTTCTATCACACAAAGCATTGAAGTACAATGAAGTTGCTGATCAACCTTATTAAATTGGCACACTCCTATAAAACACCACACATCAATCACCTTCCATGCTTGAGGGCAATCTCTTATGATTTTGATCTCTTAAGATTAATAGTAATCTCACTACCATCAACTTCAAAGCAAAATAGTCTTCTTTATAAAATCACATTTCTTCAGATTTGGGAAGATTATATTCTTTTTTCGGAGGCTAAGCACTTTTTGCACGTGTTTGTGATGTTCCTCCCATAGTCCCATGTCTAATTGTAGATGAAGATGTTGAACATCACAAAATCCTTTATGAATGGTCTCATAATGTCATCCATGAGGCACATAAATATTGTTGGCAAATGCAAAGGTGGAATGACATCACTATCTAGTAAAATATTCCTTGTTTAGTTTTGTGCAGTCTTTACGTATCTTCTTTTTTTGTATTTAGACTTGGTTGTTAATTTCAAATCCAGCTTTGTGAAGATTATGTCATGCTTCAGCTGGACATAGTTGGTCTAGAAAATCATCCTCTTTGGAAAGTGTATACTAATTCTTCACCATGATCTTAATTAGTGTTTGATAGTCTACACACATTTTTCAACCATTGCTCTTCTTTGGCACCATCATGATTGACGATTCACATGATAAGCTGCTCTACTTTATGACTTCTTGCTCTAGCAACTCAATTACTTGCTTCTATTTTTCTTTGTTCTCCACCATAGAGCTGTGGTGCATCTAATGTTATGCATAGTAGAGTTCAAGAGAAGGTTGACTTAGACTTTGTTTGGGACAATTTTCTTACTACTTCTTGAAGCAATTTTTTAGTATAAAAATTAAAATTTTTATACTAGAAAGCCGTTTTAAGAAGCAATAAGAAAGACATCCCAAACGAAGTCTTAATCTCCACATTTCAATGTGGCAAACCTCTTATTTCTCGAAAAGCCCCTGATTTTATTCCACCAATAACAATAGTATAAATCCTCATAGCTCATGTAAAATTCAGTGCTTTCACCCTTTCTCTCACTTTCTTCTATTATTAAATGCTCATGCATTTTCATTTGCCCCCCTTTTCATCAAACAGATGACATGATAAAAAAATTGCACACATTTGTTGCCCTTTTCACCAGTCCAGCCACAACCATGTCTAAAAACTAACAACCCTTGCTCACATTATCTTGAGAGAGATGATGATATTATTGTACTCGTCAGTGGAAGATAGCATTTGAGTTCCATAGATATGAGCTTCCGAAGATGATCTTACATATTTTGAGAGAAAACCCTTCGCATTATGTTGTTGATGTATGCCCTGGTGATGGCAAAGCAATCATGACACTAATGATCATTCGACATTTTCAAGTGCTTTTGAATCCATCCCCATGAATAAGAATAGAGTGATGCGGCGGTTCAAGATCCAACCTTTCGACCAAACCTGTCAAGATACGATTCTTTTGACTCCCCAAGTTGAAGATGGTGTTAACCACATCCTGCTTCACTTGAATATGTAATTTGTACATCTTTTCACATTACAAGTGTCGTACTCAACCCTTTTCCCTCAACAATGCTATTAAGAAAATGCTCAGAGTTTGAGTGATTCACCGATTCCAATATTTGATCCTACTCCACTGTAGTGGCTACTTTCTCTTGTTGAACTTATCGTGAAGGGCTTCGGATAAAGTTTCTAGCACTTGGTTCCATGATATGTGCAGTTTTTCAGTTCGGCAGTGAAGTTATTCTTATTTCTCTGTGTATATAGTAGTAGTAATGGTAGATTTTTTTCCTTTCAGTATCCTGTTGGTACCCCAGAGTTGTCCTCAGGGTTGGCTGAAAGTACTGCCTCCTGTGGCATAGCAGCGGGTCCTGTTGGTCAACATAGTAGTCATCATTGGGCCTTCATGGGGAGCTGCAAGCACCGGATATGGGAAGCAATAAGGGCATCTTCTGCTGCTCCTTATTATCTTGATGACTTTGCAGATGGTGATTTCAAATCTCTTCTTGAATGTTGCTTTAGGCTTTTGTTTTCTTTGCACATTTGTTTGTTTGTTGTTTTTTTCCGCTGCATTGTGCTGCTAAAATAACTTTTGTTTTGTTTGTCTTCTTTAAGATTTAAATCGGTGGCAAGATGGAGCTATTCTGGCAAATAATCCTACAATTTTTGCCATAAGAGAGGCACAGCTTTTGTGGCCTGATGCTCGAATCGATTGCCTAGTTTCTGTTGGGTGTTGTTCTGTTCCAACCAAAGTAAGAAATTGAGTCGTTTGCTTCAAATATATAGATTTGCAGGGAATCTCGATACTAAAATGGAAATTTTACACTGCGTTATATTTTAGATGTATAGATTACTGAAAGAATGGTTTTGTTTCCATCATGGTTCAGAAGGTCTTTGTTTCTAATCCGGTTTCTTTTGTTTTTTACAAAATCTAGGTTCGGAAAGGTGGGTGGCGTTATTTAGATACAGGACAAGTACTGATAGAGAGCGCATGCTCAGTTGAGCGGGTGGAGGAAACAATGGATACATTGATGCCTTTGCTTCCTGACATGCAGTATTTCCGGTTCAATCCAGGTAAATGTGGTTGTGTTCTGAGCTAATGAAATCATTTTATTTATTTTTAGAATTCCACAAGTTGTTTTCTACCCTGATTTCTTACTTGAGGTCTAGCTCTAGACCCGTATAATGTCATTTTAATATTAAAAAACTTAATTTTTAAGAAGTAAACCATGATTAAAACCTTGATTCTGATTTCTGTTTCATGTGAACTACAGTGGATGAGCGATGTTGTATGGAGCTAGATGAGACTGACCCTGCTGTCTGGCTTAAATTGGAAGCTGCAACTGACGAGTATATCCAGAAAAGCTGTCTGGCTTTTGAGAGTCTGTTTGAACGTCTACTTTCAAGGAATGCCAATGAGGACAAATTGGCTGAAAAATTAAAGAGTCGCCATGCGTACAACTCAAAACTTTCAGATGCAGGTTTGTGTTGTTTCAGGCTTTCCCTATGTTGTCTTTTTCTTATGAGAACAAGTAATGATTGATTTATGAAAATGTTTTCTTATCAGTGCTTGATGATGACAGCCCTTCATTGGGGTGGAGGCGGATGGTCCTGCTTGTTGAGTCATCATATAATCTTGACTCTGGAAAAGCTGTTAATCATGGTCGAGCACTTGAGGCATTTTGTGTTCGTACTGGCATTAAGCTATCTTTTACAAACAGGTCTTCAGGATTTTCTATGCCAACAACTTCATTTCCTACTCCCTTCACATCGCCATTGCTTACAGGAAGCTTCCCCTCTAGTCCAGTTATTTATAGTCCTGAAGGTGGTCCTCAGAGAATGAGCCGTATTGATTTGGTGCCACCGCTTAGTTTGGACGGTCATTCTCTTGCGAAGGCAACATCCCCTACATCTCCACTATCATGGCAGCCTTCCATTAATGTACTTTCTTTAAATGAGAAGCTACAAAGTTTGCCTCAAGTCGGCATTATTCATTTAGCCCTGCAAAATGATTCAACTGGGTTAATCTTAAGGTTATACTTTTCTTCAAATGCTTTAATATGATTTTGCCTACTGTCAATGGACCATGTAGTGATTAGTAATTTTTCATCAGCTGGCAGAATGATGTGTTTGTGGTGGCTGAGCCTGGAGAGCTAGCAGATAAATTTCTCCGAAATGTTAAGTCGAGCCTATCAATGATGATGCGAGTTCGCAAAAGAAAAGATTTTTATTCCCTATCAAAGATTTTTTCTATATCAGATTTGGTCGCCCATTGGCGACAATTTGAAGTTGGTGGTATTCTTCATCGTTATATTGGCCGCCAAACTCAAGTATGTATATTCCAGTTTTTAGTATGTTCATTTAATTGCATTCGGCATAGTGCAGAACTATTCATGATTCTCATTATATTGAAGGTGATGGAGGATAACCAGGAAATTGGCGCATATATGTTTCGAAGGACACTTCCAGCTATTCATTTGTCATCTGAGGATGTCCGCTGGATGGTAAGATTTGTTACTTGCCTCTAATAAGATTAGAGAGCTGCCTTAGATGGTTTGGTCACATAAAACGACGGGCTTCCGGTGACCCTGTTAGAAAAATAGAGGTATTCGATTTGGCTTATATTAAAAAAGATAGAAGTAGACCTAAAAAGTCTTGGTTAGAAAATATTAGAAAAGATCTTTCTTTATTAGATTTAAACGATAATTTGACTTTTAACTAGACACAATGGAAAAAAAGGATTTATGTAGCTGACCCCACGTAGTGGGACAAAGGCTTGATGTTGTTGTTGTTCTTGTTGTTAAACTTATGGCATTTCTTTTACTTCAAATTAAGCTCCTAGAAGAAATTGAAACGTAGAATAATAAAATGCGATATGCTCCTAATAACTCCAGACCAAACAGCTCTTATGAAAATCTTATGATAGAAATTGCGTTAGTTCGTCTGTTTCTAAAATTATTTTGTCCTTTTTTTTCGGGCACCATTTGTAGGTTGGATCTTGGAGAGACAGAATTATAATATGCACAGGCAAATGTGGCCCAGCTCCAAGTTTGGTGAAAGCCTTTCTTGACATGGGAGCTAAAGCTGTGATCGCTTCCTCACTAGAACCACCTAATGCTGAATCTGTGGCACTTAACGGCGCTGGTGAATACGGCGATTTTGAAAACGGAAAATTTGTGATTGGTGATGATGAGGCCGACGATGATCCAGCTGAACCATCCAGTCCTACGAGCGATTGGGAAGACAGTGATACGGAGAAAGCTCGTCCAATTGACATGGATGACAATGATGAAGAAGAACTTTCCAGATTCGTTTGTGATTTATATGATATGTTATTTCGAGACGGCGCAACGGTTAACATCGCTGTAAACCATGCACTGAACTCTCATCCAAAGTTAAGGTACATATGTCACCTTCCTTGTACTACTTAAAATATGGATAATTTATACAACATGAATAAGCATACATCATATAGAGAAGGAAAATGAGATGATATAGAGGAAGTTATATGCGTAGAAAGGCATTAAAAATGTTGAGAATCTATTTTTGGAATGATATCCTTATTCAAAAAGAAAATGTAACGAGTTCTTCATAGAGATTTGTAGATGTTTTATCTAATAATTCAATATCATTTATGGTCTCTTGGACTACAGTTACACATGATGAAATATAGCGTAAGCATCTGCTTCCCAGCTTTAGATTTTCATGGTTGTTGTTCTACTTATGGTTTAAGGCTTCATTGGTTCTGCTTTTTGTCCTTCAAAGCAACTTTTATTTATATTAGAAATGTGAATAGAAAATTTTTATCATCAAAATATCAAATAATAACAATAATAATAAGTTTCATTTTATTTTATTTTGCTTGTTTCGACACCTGTAAACTAACTCAAATAAGACCATTTAGTATGTGGAATCTGTAGCTTGACACAATGCAAAATTCTACAATGCCTATAAAGCGGCAAATTATTGTGCGGATGCCTAACACCATCTAGAGACTAACAAAAATGCAACATATCATCCCCGCTCGGTACTGCTGACGTGGCGCATTCTGGTTGATCTCTGGACGGCGTTTGATGTCCGCACAGAATAATTTTCCCTATAAAGCATGATCGTTCGATAAAATACTAATCATAGGAACAGCAAGGAAACCATCTTTAAAGTTTACAGAGACTATGGTTGGATGAAAAAAAATGCAGAGTAAGAAAAAATTACATCATATTTAAAATATTTAGAGTTATTTAGATGATTATAAAGAATGCATGTCATTTTTTTAATTTGATTTAAATAAAATGAGTGCAGCATAAAGCTCAATTAGTGCAGATAATAATATTTGCTTGAAAATTTTTGATTTGAATGTAAAATCACCCAGAAACACTTTATATATGTAATTCAGATACATAATAGTTCAAAATGAAATAACCCATCAATTATTTAACCTCCACTTCTTATTGACAATTAAAAATAATCATTGTTCTCATCAATGCAAAGTTTCATAAAAAAATAATGGATGGACCAAATCTCTATTCAACTGAGAATTCAAACAACATTGTATGCTTGTATTTTTCTCCAGCCTGAATCACAATATTAGGAAAATTTGGCTGATTAATTGCATTTGGAAATCCTTGAGTCTCCAAACATAAACCTGCATGTTTTTGATAGATTGATCCTTCTTTTCCAGAAACACCATTAACATAGTTAGCTGTATAAAATTGCACACCAGGTGCATCACTCCATAGGTTCAGTACTCTTGAACTTGAAGAATCCTTCACCTTAGCCACATGCTTCAGTCCAGATTTCTCTTCACTGTAATCAAGAACATAGTTATGATCATAGCCACCTGGAACTTGATCAATTGTGCTACCAATTTTGTTTTCTTGTGTGAAATCAAAGGGAGTATTCTTGACCGGAGCGATTTCGCCGGTTGGTATTGAGTTGTGATCGACTGGAGTTATGTGATGCGAAAAGATTTGAATAGAATGATCGAGAATGTCGCCGGAATTGTGACCTGCTAGATTCCAGTAAGTGTGCTGAGCAAGGTTGATTGGGGTAGCTTTGCCACTGGGTGTGGCCTCCATTTCAAGTTTGAGTGAGTTGCTTGAAGGAAGGGAGTATGTTGCTGTGACTGTAACATCACCAGGATAACCTAAATTGGGCAAAGGTTAGGTAGGGTTGCAAAATTAACTCAAAATTGAAGCTAATGAGCCAGCTAACAAACTAAGGCTTCATTTGGGACAGCTTTCTTATTGCTTCTTAAAGCAACTTTCTAGCACCAAAAAATTAAATTTTTATACTAAAAAACTGCTTTAAGAAGCAATAAGAAAGTCGTGCCAAACGAAGCCTAAATCCGAATCAAATGAAATAAAAAATGTGTCCAAGTATAACTCCGATCGAAATGCATATGCATGTATGATCGCATGGATGTACATCAAACTAATAATTTATCACATCATAGGAGATTGAAATAGGATCATGTCTTTAAAGTAAACAAGGAATGTTTGGATCGAAAGAGATGGGATCAAACCAGCCTATAATCAGGCTTGAGTCAATTCAAGATTGAATTGTTAACAACCCTACAAAATATAGAAGGATGACAGAAATTTATTTGACATTTTGCTTCCTCTATAACTGAATCTTTCCAGAGAAACAAATGATTTTACCTTCCTCTCCATCTTTACTGTGATACTTGAATGTTATGGCTGGTATCCCACCATCTGTATGATCTATAACCTCCCAGACCACTTTGTTAAAGCCCTTGCTCCCACCTGATAGATAAGGAGATACAAAATACTTCCAAAGAATCAAAATTATATTCCAACAAAAAAATTCAAAGAGTTGAGAATACAATATATATATAACACGGATCTCAAAGCTAATTCAATGATTTTGAGATCAATCATGGAAGAATTTATTTTCCATGAGATTATATTCTAGATGAATTACTTACCATGAAGGCTGTTGGGGCCATTGTTAATAGGCAATGAATAGTCCACACCATTGAGAGCAAATTTCCCATCTTTGATCCGATTTGCCACACGGCCAACAATGCACCCGAAATAAGGTGCATTGTCATTCTAACCAAAAAAGATGAACAAAAATTGAAATAATTGTTGAAATGCAGTGTAGAAACAACACAAGTAAAAAAAAACTATGTATTTCTATGAAAAAATGGTAAAATCTCTAAAAATATGATGAAGAGGATGATTGCAGCCTTGCATTTTCTTTCTAATTCCTTTCTCTCTATAAATTTTAACTCATTCAAATTGAGACTTTGTTTGGGATGACTTTTTTGCTGCTTCTTAAAACAGTTTTTTAGTATAAAATTTTATTTTATTTTATTAAGAAGATGCTTTAAGAAGAAGAAAAAAAAGCTGTCCCAAATAAAATCTGAATATTAGATTTCATCATCAATGCAGCATAAATGGGACAAATGAGAATAAGTAATCAATCAAATGAATGAAAAATAACTAAAAAAATACAGTCAATCCAAAAGTTTAGTCAAAATCTTCCTTTGATCCTTTGCTTTCAACTAGATCTGTCAATTTCGGGTTACGGGTCGGGTTCGGGTCAACCCGAAATTGACCCCGTATTATTCGGGTTCGGGTCGACCCGACCCGTTTTTTCAAACGGGTCGATTTTCTGGACCCGAACCCGACCCGCTTCGGGTTCGGGTCGGGTTCGGGTCAACCCGACCCCACATATTTCAGCCAAATCTCGGGACGGCGAAAGCCTCGGGACGCCGATGTTAGTTCCGTCCTTGGGACGGCGAAAGCCTCGGGACGACGCGGCGTGAAGAAACGCCGGACGCCGGACGCCGGACGGCGGAATTGCGGCTGAGCGCCTGAGCCGCTGAGACATGAACGACGGCAGCCGCGGCTGAGTCACGGACGCGGTCACGGATGGAGAAAGCCTCGCACGCGCCACGCGGTCACGCGGGTCTCACCAGTCACCGCGACATTGACGCGGCCCACGCGGGTCGTACCGCGCTGGGCAGGCCGCAGGCGGGGCAGGCGGCTCGAGGCAGTCGGGCAGCTCGGGCAAGGGCGGGCTGGGGCAGCGGGCAGCTCGGGCAAGGGCGGGAATCAAATTTGTTTAAATTAAACGGGTTTTCGGGTTGACCCGGCAACCCGTCGGGTCAACCCGAACCCGACCCGTTTTTGTAAACGGGTCGGTTTCCCGGACCCGAACCCGACCCGCTTCGGGTTCGGGTCAACCCAAACCCGAAAATTTCGGGTCGGGTTCGGGTCGGGTTTTCGGGTCGGGTCCAATATTGACAGGTCTACTTTCAACACTCACCACAGAAAAACCAAATTGCCATCTCATACGCATCAACATCCTCATTTTTTTCACACCCACAGTGAATCCAGCTGACCAAAATTAAAATCCCATCAAAAAATTCCAAAAGATCTTTCCTACAACTTACCACATAAGCATCAAGGGAGTCAAACCCTAGAACTACATCTGCCACATTTCCTGAAATCCAAACAGAAATCAAAATAGACCATCTCAATCAAATCAGATCACGATGAAACCTGCAGGAGATGACCAAATCCAATAAACCCTAACCTTCGGAATCAGGGACGAGAAGAGAAGTGATGGCGGCGCCGACGTTGGTCAGCCTCACTTTTATCCTTCCGTTGCTGAGCTCAAACAGCTCCGGCTTCGCCATTTATCTTCTTTCTTCACCCGGCAAAACGCTTTCTTTGATTTTCTACTCAGCGACGGAGAAATTTATAAGAAAAGCTATTGAAGATAGAATCATCAGACGGATAAGTGTGCTGCCATTCTTATCGTTTACTAACCTTTATTCCTAAAAATAATTTTGATAATTACAAATTTTATTTTAATTATTTTATTGTTCTTATTTTTAAAATAACAGTCTTCGAAGTTATAGCTTTGAAATAAAAAAATATATTAAAAAATTAGTTTGGGATTAATATGATAAGTCTAAAAATCAATTAATTTTATTTAAATATAATATAATATAATATAATATAATATAATATATATATATATATATATATATATATAAATTTATTATATCATACACGTCTTAAAATAAATTAAGTAATTTTTAAATTTATTTTGATTAGAATAGTATTACTCAAAATAAATTAGAAGTTAGGAAATATGTGGGATGCAATTAAATACGGTGATGGTGTTCGGAGGATTGTAGTTGGTGGTCAGAGGATGGAGATTTGATTACGATGGTCAGATGATAGTGTTTTGACAAGGCAGTTTGATTATGGTGGTCTGATGGAAATGGTGGTGGTACGATGGTTGTGGTATGTTGGTGTTGGTCTATTGATAATGGTCAAATGGCTATAGCTAGATGATGGTAGTTCGATTGAGCTCTAAGTCTCTTTAAGCTTACGAGCTCTCTTAGTTCTCAACTTGGGGGTTTAAACTCTATTTCTCTCTCCATGTATTCTCTTCGTATAGAGAGTATGAGTCTATTTATAATTTTTTAGAGTGACACTCTTTGTAAATATAGCCAAAATTTAAAACACTCCATCATTTGATCTCACATTAATCCTCTGGATCATAAACCATTCTTTTAGCATTTAGTTGCCGTAATGATATCAAAATTGAATGATTTTGAGCTCTTTGGGTTTGTTCAAATGCTTGATTTGATTATAAGTGTAACATCCCAAACATCAATAGTGAAAGGATTCGTCGACAGTCTTGATCAACCATTACTTCTTGCTCCCTTGCTCAGACCTGAAATTGTTAACCACATATAATGAGCTTAAATAGCCCAGCAGGTCACCAAAGCCTACAACTGAAATCAAAGCACGGTACGGAAGCAATATGCATGTCAATCAGTCGAATTAATAACAGTCAGTTGCATATGATCAGTGAATCTATGCAGATACAGAAATCAGTACAGAAACAGAAATCAATACATAAACAATAGAATCCAAAATCATCAGTAAGAGAATCAATAAACAGTAGGAAATCTCATAAAGCTCAATAAATCAGTACGTGCATTAAATCTCTACAGTAGTCGTCTTATCTATCACATCAGTCTATCAATATAGTAAAGTCGTATCAAAACATACACTTGCAAATCGATCAGTTCTTCAATATCAATCAAATCATCAGTTCTTCAATATCAATCAAATCAATAAAATCATCAAATACAATTGAAATCAATCAATGCAATAAAATCATATAAAAATTAATAAATCAATAATCACATGCTCGATGTATCACATGTATCTTGTTCGCTGTATCACGTGTATCTTGTTCGGTGTATCACGTGCTATAAGATTGGTACAATGAATCAATGTATCAGTGGTATCGGTATCGATATCGATATATGTATCCATGAATCAATACAATATCCATATCCATATCAGTATCAGTATCAATGTCCAGTGACATGTACTGTATGCAATATCAATAAAATCGTATAGTAACAGTAAACCCGTATATCCGTTAAATCCATTCAATATCGATAAATCAATTCTATATCAATAAATCAATCGATCTCAATAAATCAGTAAATCCATCAAGAAATCATAAGAACAGTTCTGTACGCATGCAATACAATACAGTAGTCTTACCTAACAAGTACAATCACTGGCTATTAAGGCATTTTTCAATGTTAGTATCGATGTTAGTAATCCGTTGGCTCAGTAAAAAGAGTCGTCACTCATGCCCGTCGGCACAGTAATCTCCTTATAACTCTCTTCGGTAATCACGTGATCAGTAGAGGATATCGCCAAACCCTTTTTAAAGGAAAGCCCGTCGGCCCACCATCCTGTACAGGTATCATCTCCAACCAACGGTTCAACCAGTCTTCACTTGTCTTTCAGTAATATAACAATTATTCAATCATATATCCACATTCGTATGCATATTCAATCATTCAAATCATCAATTCAGAAAATCAGAAGTCGGACGAGAAATCGGCGGCATAACGGCAGTACACGGAATTTACACAGAAATCACAGATTCAAAACTTTACCAATTACCACAGAACATGTAAAACAACAATATAAGACTTTCATTATACTGAAGCAACATTTTTCAACAACCTGATAATTTTCTATTCCATAAAAATCGCACAGAACTCAAAATAACCGGTAGAAACTTTACAGAAAATACTCAAATCGTGCAGAAATATCATATCAGAAACATATCAAAAGTTGTGCGGTAAAACTTCCGTCAATACAAAATTATACGTGTTTTTCGGTAACGGAAACACAAATCTGAGCACAGAAATATCAAAACTCGAAATCTTCGAAAACAGAAATAGGATTCGGAGTCCTTACTGCAAGACAAACAAATATTCTAACAACGACGACGGACGAAAATCGGTCCGCGGCCTCCGAAACCAAGCTTTTCCTTCTTTCCTTCTCTTTCTCTCTCCTGAATTCTCTTTCTCTCTCTTCAAATGAATCCAAAATATCTCTATCGGATATTTATTAACACTGATCGTCCCGGACGATCCAAAATTCGTCCTGGGACGATTTGCCCTATGGCAGAAATTCGTACAGACGAAATTAAATAACGTCCGGACGACTTGCTCTCTGGACAAATTTCGTCCAGACGGATCGTCCCGACCCTTCCAGGTTCGTACAGACGAAATTGACAGATTCTTCACAATTTTCTTCAGTTCGTCCTGTACTAAATCCAGTTCGTACGGACTAACTGCACTAAAAAAAATCAGCTTTGGAGGGGGTTTTACAATAAGAATAAAAGATTCAGAGATTATTTAGTCACACAATTAAGTTTCTAATTATATTTCTAGTGGTTGGCCTTGGGCACATTTAGAGTCGGATCAGATCAATTTAGTGTCAATGGGAATGTCGAGGCATTCAATTTTATCATTAGTTTGTTGAAATCAAAATTTATATGTTCTTAAATTTAATTTCATAAAATTTTATTTCTAAATGCGAGATGTGGATATTATCTTTGGCTTCATATTTTTTGATATATTTCATTATTTATTGGTTCTTTTATTCCATTTTTCATAGTTGGATACAATCATCTATATTAAATTTTTTTAATAGTTATGAGTTGTTTTGCATTCAAAATATTATAACAACAACAACATCAAGCCTTTATTCACTCTGTGGGGTCAGCAACATGAATCTTTTCTTTTTTTTTTTCTATTTTGTCATGTTAAGAGTTAAATTCTTATTTAAATCTAATAAAGAAATGTCATTTCAAGTAACCAAGTCTTTTTAGGTCTACCTATACCTTTATTAATATAAATCAAATCTAATATATCTACTTTCTTAACAGGAAGATCATCATTTTATGTGACCAAACCATTTAAGCCGGCTCTCTCTAATCTTATCTTCCACTAGAACTACTTCAACCTTTTCACGTATATGCTCATTCCGTATCTTGGCTCTAAAAGTAAAGCAACTCATCCACCTGAGCATCCTCATCTTTGCAACACTTAACTTAATATTATTCTTCTCTTATAATGACCAACATTATGCACCATAAAGTATTGCAGGTCTAATTACCATATTATAGAACTTTCACTTAAGTTTGAGAGAGACTTTTCTATCACACAACAAGCCCAATGAATTCCCACTTCAACCATCAAACTTGAATTCTACTAATAATATCTGTATCTATTTCATCATAGCTTTGAACGATAGGCCCAATATATCAAAAATATATACTCTTATTAATGTCTTGATCACCCAATTCACAATCCCCACTAGATACATAATTAATTAAATTACATTCAATATAGTCAGTTTTAGATCTACTAAAACGAAAGCCTTTAAAATCTAAAGTTGACTTCCATAATTCAAGTTTACCTTTAACTTCCTCTCTAGTCTTATCAATAAGAAGAATATCATCAGCAAAAAGCCTACGCCAAGGTAAAACCTCTTGCAAATGTCTAGTGAGAACGTCCATGACTAAAGCAAAAATATATGGGCTTAAGGCTGATCCTTGATGTAATCCGGCTGAAATTGGATAATACTTGGTCGAACCACCTTGTGTTTGAACACACATAACAGCTCCAATATACATATCTTTAATGATTTGAATATAAGCATTATTAACCCATTTTTTTCGAGAACTCTCCATAATGCTTCTCTTGAAATTTTATCATTTGCTTTCTCTAAATCAATGTATCAATGTAGATCCTCTTTACTCTCTATACTTCTCCATCAAACCTCTCAATAAATATTACTATTAAACATTATTTCGAAGATGTAATTTTTTTTTTATATTTTTTAAAAGTCAAAACTTATATGGTTATGTGGACTACTAAATTAATTTGGGCCCTATAGAAATAGCCCATATAAAGCCCATGCATAAATGACGAAAAAATTCCTTCACATGTCCGCTGAAGCAGGGCACCTCACGTGAAAAACCCTCTTTGGTACCATATTATTATAAATATTTTCTATTCATGAACCTTTCTCCAAATTTAAACAAAACTTAGACATCTAATGATAAATTAAAAAAAAAATTAAAAAATTAAATGAAGAAAATAATCAATAATAATAATAATAATAATAATAATTCATGCAAATACATATTTTTTGAAGTTACATCCAAATAAAAATCGCATAAAAGGGACTGACTAAGTAGGCTAGCAGCATCTCGCAACGCTGGACTAGTAGGGCCACGAGACTAGGATCTCTGTCCTATATTTGATCCACAATGTTGCGGTACTGAGCTCTACACAGCTCCTTGGGGCTCTAAAAATTCTTTTTTCTTAGGAGGCTTCACCCCGGTGCCCCCAAGCAGGGGTCCGATGCCCCCCTATGACCCTCAACGAGCTTCATATCGAGCTCAATTAATGAAATTAAAATGAGTCAACTACAACTCAATTGATTGATACAATTAGATTTCATAATAACAAATACATGTTTTTTTGAGAAATAAGCAAGCGAAAGGGAGAAAAATCATTACCTTCGCGAAGAGGAATAATCAAGACCTTGGGTAGCAACTCATTGGACTTCGCTGACATCTGTCTAGCTGATAAGGTGAAGAAGAACTTTCTCCAGTTCTTTTTCACTCCATTCGAGTACCTCTGCCTTGAGCAGAGAAGGAAGTAGAGAGCGAGCTCCCATCACGCGAAGCATGTACAACACGAAGAAATGGCAATGAGGAAAAGAGACAAAGCCAAATCTTGGATTTTAAATTAATCTAATAATTAGTATAAATAAGTAATATAATTATATTTAATTAAATAATTAGTAGCCTAATTATCATTACATTAGTTTAATTATTATTGATAATTTATTAGTTGTATAATTATCATCAAATTAGTTTAATATAATTAGAAGTTAAAACTATAATTAGATATTTAGATAATTAGTTATTAGTTATATAATTTTCATTAAAATAGATTTTTGACATACACAATCCTAAGTTCAAATATTCTCCACTATTCCTCTTTCCCATTTCTCGGAGATCCCCTTCGTTAGCTCTCCACAGCTCCTTCTTCCCCACTGCAAAAATGTCTTCGACCACCAGATCCTCCTCCAAAGCTTCCAAATCCCCTTCTCAATCTTCTCTCTCCTCCCACCTCGCCATGCTTGATCTCAAATCTCGCATCCTCTCTTCTCTCTCGAAGCTCTCCGATCGTGACACCCATCAGATCGCCGTCGACGATCTCGAAAACATAATTAGCTCCCTTCCCGCTGACGGCTTCCCTATGTTCCTTTCCTCACTACTCCACGATCCTATTCCTTCCCCTGGCGACCCGACCGGTGCCCGCAGCTCCCCCATTGTTGCCCGCCGCGAATCCATCCGCCTTCTCGCTCTTCTCTGCGCCGCATACCCCGACTCCGCCGCTGCTCATCTACCCAAAATCATAAATCTCATTGTTCGCCGACTCAAGGACCCTGTATCAGACGCTTCACTTCGTGACGCTTGTGGTGACGCGGCTGGCTCGCTGGCGGCGATCTATCTTCGATCCAATGCTGAGGAAACCGGAAATGGACGGTCGGGGGCGGCGGCGCCGGTGGCTGGTTTGTTTGTGAAGCCGTTATTGGAGGTGATGGGGGAACAGAGTAAGACGGTGCAGGCGGGGGCGGCAATGTGTCTTGGGAAAGTCGTGGAAGGAGGGGGAGGGGGAGGGGGAGGCGGAGCTGCGGCGTTTCAGAGGCTGTGCCCTAGAATATGTAAGATGATTGGAGCTCAGAGCTGTCTTGCGAAGGGATCTTTGCTGTCTGTGCTTTCGAAATTGGCCCAGGTTCGTTTTCTTCAGTTTGCTCTGTGCTATGCTGTGCTGTCGCTGGGCTTCTATGAAGCGAGTTCTGGTTTAGAAGAAGTGGCCTGCTGCTCGCTGTTTGTTTTTTTCTTATTTATTTATTTTGACAGCATTATGCAAGCTGACAACTTGAGACAGTTTTAGGTATGTTCCATTTTCTGGGGCTATTAAGCTAAAGTAGGATTTAACTCAAGTAGGTTTTAGTAAATCCTGTAAATCCAGATTTTATCAAATTTGAAGAGGATTATAACCTGAAAACAGTTTGGCTGGATTTAAGCTAAATTTTTCTGAATTCTTACCAAATATAGAATATCAGACATCCCCTGTTGTTTCTTTTATTTTTTATTTTCCTTTTTTTACCATGGTAATTGTTCTTAAAATGAATTTTTTTTTTATCATCATCTCTTGTAGATTAGGATGATTTTTGGATTTACTTTTTGATAGTAACCCCTCTAATCAAGAGGGCAATTTTAAGATAAGGAAAAAGAACAGTGATTTACCTCATTTCCACTCAATTAACCTAAATCCTACCTCACACAGATCATTCACCATTGGAAGTTCTCTAAGGTTCCAGATCACTGTAGTGTATTCAGGCTTTAAGATTTTAAATCGTAAATAGACACAGACAAAGCCATCTGAATGAAAGAGTCAACAGCTACCAATTATTTATCCGTTCGAGTCCTACACTTTCTCGTAACTTTTGGCGTATTGTTGAAACCACTGTTAATCAGTCTCGGAACTAAATAAAGTTTTTTTTTTTGTTTGGGTTATTGAGATGATTCAAGCTGCTGCTACTAAAGACAAAAGAAAAGACAACTTGACAAGCTTATGTAACATTTTTAATCGTAATCTACAGATAAAAACAGTTTGACATAAATTTAATAATTAATTTCAATAATAAGTCAATCACAAGATTGTCTCAACAAGTTTAAGCGTAAATTAATGCAGAAAGTCTCGGTCAACTTGCGTCAATTTTAAATAAAATACCATCTTACGATATAATCTAAGTAGCTGATCATATTTTTAAAATGGATAGTTCAATCATTTGTCAGTAATTGCACATCATGTCCCAAACTTCTTCTGGGTGATGTTGAACCCAATTGGCCATTAACTACTAGTTTCAACTGAAGTTTTTTTTTTTTCTTTTTTTTTAATAATAAGTTCCGAGAATTTCTTAGCTTAGTACTCTTAGATTAAGATATGCAGCTAGTCGCTTTTCTGCAGCAAGCTCCGAGTTACTGGTGACATTAACTGAGGATCTAGAGGTGGTTTTAGAACTATTGGAGCTTATGGGGGTTCGCCAAAGAGAAGATGGAGCTAAGGAAGTGCTGATCAAGTGGAAGAATCTTCTGAACTACGATGCGACATGGGAGCCTTATGAGAGGATGAAGCATCAATTTCCTTCTTTTTACCTTGAGGAATAGGAGGTTCTTTGGGAGGGCGGTATTGATAGGCCGGTTCAGCCTGAACTATCCCAACTTCAACCGGACCCTTCTAATGGGCCAGTTCAGGTTTACAAAAGAAGGGGCGGCGGCAAGAGAGAGAGAAGGAGGTGGGGTCTACTAGAGATTCAAAGTCAAATATTTGAAGCCAAAGGAGCGGATGGCAAGGGCTAATCTATCTTTTGGCTTTAATGATTATCTGTATTTTTTTTTAACTTCTTTTACTTAAGGAGTAAATGATGATTAATTGTATGCTTTAAGTATGAGAGAGGAAATAGGGTTAGTGTTCTGCTTTATTTTGGTGGCTGATTTTCGGAGTTCTTGTCTTGGTGTCTTGGGCCTTAGATTCATCTTGGGATTGAGAGAGAACGATCCTCCTCTCGAATTGAGGATCACTGGTATCTTGGTTATTTGTTTCCGTCCATGAACTACTATTTTGCTGTTTTTCCATTAGATTGGTGAAGTTTTCTCGTTGTTTTCATCAATTTTGTTAGGGTTTACTTGAAATATTCAAGTATTTCCTATCAAAAGCATATTATTATGGTTTAAAGCGTTTGTGATTTCTAAATCTTTAACCCTAGTAAATGTCCTAGAATAGCTTTGTTTTGGATTGGTTGGAAAAAATAATCTCAAAATTCTTGCAGGTTGGAGCAATCAGTTCCCAGAGTATGCCGAATGTGCTGCAAAGTGTTCGAGAATGTCTTGAGAATAATGATTGGGCAACTCGTAAAGCAGCTGCTGATACATTCAGTGTGTTGGCCTCCCAATCAAGCCATTTAATTGCTGATGGGGCATCTCAAACTATTGCTTCTTTGGAGGCTTGTCGTTTTGATAAGGTGATTTTTCATGTTTCTTATTTTCATGGATTTTATAGGGTACGTGATACAAATGCATCTTCTTCCACAAATAGATTGAATGTTTATAGCTCGAGACTGTTTTTCTTAAATCGGTATGGCTACTCTGGCTACAAGTTTGTTCAATGTCTCATATTTCTTTTTAACCAGGTTAAGCCCGTGAGAGAGAGCGTGATGGAGGCTTTACAATTATGGAAGAAGATTTCAGATAAAGGAGCTGAGAGTTTGAAAGGTACAATGCGAGCCTCTCATTAGTGTTCATGTAGTTCAAGTTTATTATTTGTGTTCCGTGGGTGTTACACGGTGTTACAGTTGGTGAATCAGGACATTCTGACGAGAATTTGGACAGTAAAGATTTGAATCTCAATAGTGATAGACAAGAATCTGTGAAGGATTCATCTGCTGATTCTTCATCTACTGGCGGTGCGCCTCTATCCCCCGTAAAGTGCACCATCCTACCAGAGAATGCTGCAGATTTACTGAAGATAAAGGCACCCTCTTTGAAAGACAAAGAGTTAAACCCAGAGTTCTTTCAAAAACTCGAATCAAGAAATTCAGATGATGTTCCTGTTGAAGTTGTGGTACCTCGTAAACGCCCTCAGTCCTCGCATTCAAAAGATGGAAAAGAAAAAGGCTCAGCTGAGGGTGGTGTTGTTGCTGGATGTGAATTGAATGAAAATCTTGAACATTCATATCGTCGCTATAATACTTCTGAAAGAAGATTAGGTGCACATGGAAGACAACAAAACTCAGATTTCCTTGCTCGTGATAAGTTTTCAGAGCAATTGAGGTTCCGAGACTCGAAACTGAGGGGTTGTGATGCTTCCAATAGGGTGGAATTTAACCCTGGGGACTCCTTTGCAAGCCGTTCAAGTATCTCACGAACTGATGGTCTTGTTGAAAGCTCTTTTATGAATAATAAAGTAAATTGGTTGGGCATTCAGAGGCAGTTATCTCACTTAGAGAGGCAACAAGCATATCTTATGAACATGTTGCAGGTTTGTGTTTGATCATTAAGATTGGATTTAATTTATTTCTTCCTGATTTGCATGCATAGAGCAGAATTAAATTTCCTTTCAGTCACAGTATAATGATGCGTTATAACTTATGAATTTTTATCTATCTAAGTTTAGTGGAGAAATGCCTTGGCAGGTTTATAAAATTACATTGACTATGCTAAATGGACAGTGGCAAAAATAAAAAAGATTAAGCAACGGTGTAAAGGGAAGCTGGATGCTTGCCTAGTTGATTAGGCAAGGCAAGGTGAAGTCATATCACCTCACATACCTTCTAGGAGGGTAATATTATTAAGGCATGCCTATGAGAGACCAAGAATCGAATCATAAAGTTCTCATAAAATATACCTTCTGGGTGATATTTTATTTGCAATCCAATATACTTTCTAAAAATTTGAGTATTTGACTAAACTAAAATTCTCACAGTAGGGCCAAATGAGAATTTTTAGAGCCCACAGATTTAAAGATCAATGGCTTGAGATGGTTGGCAGAGGAATAGCTGAAAAGATTGGTGCATTGCAGCGGCAAATCTATCGAAACTAAGAAGAATTAATGAAACCGAGAGGATGATAATGAATCATATTTATCTTAGATTATCAGGATTCCCAGGAACTTAATCACCAGAACAAATTGGTTCTACCTTATATCGCCAACTTTGCTTAGTTGACTGGAATTTTCACTTTGTTTTGACAAGGTTATTGATATTTATGCTCTATAAATCTTTTCAGCACTTCATGGAAGGCTCCCATGATAGCTTAATAACCCTGGAAGACCGAGTTCATGGACTTGAGAGAGTTGTTGAAGAAATGGCACGAGACTTGTCAATTTCCTTTGGAAGGAGAGGAGGAAATATGACTGTGGGGTTCGAAGGATCTCCTGTAAGATCCTTAGCAACTACAATGGACTTCAAGACCACCACTTCAAAGTTCGGCCGGGGAGCTGAAAGTAGAATTCCGTATCTGTCAACAGATGGCATGGCTTCTGTATCAAGGGGAAAAGAATTCTATGCACACGCTGCTCCAAGGAGAGGTCTAATGGCCTCTTCAGCTGGTGGTAGATTGCTAAGAAATGAACATGGAGGCGATCAAGTTGGTAGCGGCCGGAGGGCTTGGGACAAAGCTGACGGACCATTTAGGCTCGGCGAAGGTCCCTCTGCAAGAAGTGTTTGGCAAGCCTCCAAGGATGAGGCTACTTTGGAAGCTATTCGAGTGGCTGGGGACGATAATGGAACCTCTCGAGCTGCAACACGACGGCCAGTTCCTGAAAAAGATATGGATGCCATGGCAGATGGCGATTCCGGCCAGGAGGGTGCAATGGATTCAATTCGTATTGGTGATGTGGATTCAGCATATGCAGAGGTGCTTTCTAGGGGAGATGATGTGATGCTTTTGAAGCTGATGGAAAGATCTGGGCCTGTTATCAATGAGCTCTCAGATGAAGTAGCTATTGAACTATTGCATGCAGTCGGGCAGTTGCTGCTGGAACAAAGCTTGTTTGATATAGCATTTGCTTGGATTCAACAGGTATTTGCAAGGTCTATCTTTTTTTCCAAAGCATTGATTCATAGATTTACCAAAACACCACCAGGGGCAGATCCAGCCTTAATTTTAAGGGGGGGCAAATTTATAAGTAAAAGTGCAGAGTTTTTTTTTTTTTTAAATATCCTTACAACCAAAATTTATTTCGAGGGTGATACCTATCGACTCCTATTTGTTCATCGTTGTACGCTTCACAGATATGTCAGGGGTCCAAGGGGGCAACGCCCCCTGGCGAGGCTCGACCTGCCCAGTCAGGTCGAGGGTCAAGGAGCAGCGCCCCTGCGGGGGTTTTCGGGGACAGCGCCCTCATAACAATTTTTGGTTGTAAGTATATTTTTGGAGTCTCTTTACTATTTCTCTTTGTATTTGGTTCATCGTTCCCTAACAATAACATCTCTATACAATATGTTTAGTATGTTAGGGCAATTGCCTAAAAATCATAGTATTTTAAAACTTTTAGAGGGGGGCCGGGAGGTGCAATTGCCTAAAAATCATTGTAATAAAGACTAGAAAAAATATGGAGGGGGACAAATTACCTAAAGAATCATATAATAAAGATTTTTTTTATTTTTACAGGAGGGCAATTGTCCCCCTTAGCCTTAAGGTGAATCTGCCAATGCTCGCCCGCCCGCTCTCCCAATATTAGCTGAAAGCGCATTAAGCTTTCAGAAATACTTGAGATTCACTAATAATTTCCCATTTTTTCCTGAATTTGTTTGAGACTTATCATCCTATGCCTGATGTAATTTTCCCTTTCCAGTTGATGAATCTGGTAACGGAGAATGGAGCAGATTTCCTTAGCATTCCTATGGAAGTTAAGAGAGAAATTTTGTTGAACCTTCATGAAGTATCTACTATGGACCTGCAGGAGGATAGCTATGGGGCTTCAGCAAACCAATTATTGTCGCAGCTTGCTTCAGCTTGGGGGATCAGCATTCAGCATCTTATGAAATAGTAAGTATATTTTGTCTTCTTATTTTGATTTTTTTGGTTATATGAGCTCCGCACGAGGTTGTTAATATATGTATATTCCATTGGTTTTGGGTAGATTAGTTTATTTAAAGCAGGTTTTGGGATTCATTTTAAAGAAAAAAAAAAAAAAAGATTTTTAGATGCCTTAGAATGGTCTAGTTTGGATAAATATGCCTCTAATGTTTTTTTCATATTGTTTATTCATTCTGGATGAAACTCTGTCATTAGGGCTGCAAACGAACCGAGCCGAGCCGAGTATGTGAGTGTTCATGTTTGTGTTCATGTAATATCAGTTTGTTCAAGTTTGGTTCATGTTTGTTCGAACTTTATTGTTTGTGTTCATGTTTGGTTCATTTAAATTAATGAGTGTTCATGTTCGGTTCGTGTTCAGTTCATGTTCGGTTCGTGTTTAGTTCATGTTCGTTCGTTTAGTGCTTATCCAGCTTATTCGCGAACATATTTAACAAATTTTTTTAACTATCAAACAGACATGTTCATGAACATTTCTATGAGCGAACACATTTATAATAAAAGCAATTGTCTATTTATTAATTCTATAGTTAAATATTAATTATTTTTATCGAGCTTATTCACAAGTTCAAAATCGAACACGAATCGAGCTTTTATCGAGCTTAATGTCGAGCTTGTTCACGAACTTCAAATGCTGTTGTTCGCGAACATAAATGAGCCGAATGCATTAGTGTTCAAGTTTGTTTATTTAAGAATCGAGTATTTAAAATATTGTTCAAGTTTGTTTGTTTAGTTAATTAAACGATCACAAACGAGCTTTAATCGAATCGAACAACGAGTTGCTCGTCGAACGTTTGGTTCGCTTGCAGCCCTATCTGTCATGTTAAAGTGAATGTTCTAAACACTAAAAAAAGTTCATAGCTCAAATTTGAACTAATTCTTATATTGCTCGAGTTAGGGGTGTTAATATTTGACACGGCCAAAAAACTCAACCTGAACCTGACCACGAAAATTTCGGGTATGTGTCAACCCGAACCCAAACTGGATGGGATTCGGGTTTGGGATTTCGACCCGTTTGTAAAATCGGGTTGGGTTCATTGACCTTTTTTAATTAACTTAGTAGGGTTTTAAAATATTGTTATGAAATAAGTAAATGCTATTTTCAAAAAAATAATAAACCATGTTGCCCAAATTGAATTAAGTTTGATTTATTTTTAAATTGATTGAAGTAAATATTACCTTAATTTAATTTAGGTTTAAATAAATAAATAAAAACTTAGTAAAACATATTCGAAGCGGGTCGTGTTCGGGTCGAGTCGAACGGTGCCAGGTTGGACACGAACTCAACCCGTGACCTAATTTTGACAGCCCTAGCTTGAGCCAAATTTGACTTTGAACTTCCTATAGATCCATGATCTTAAAAGTGTAGGTGCAAACGAGTCAAGCTTAAGCGAGTATGCCTTCTATTATTGTTCAATTTGTTAGAGCTTTTGTTTATTTGAACTTATTCATGAATATTATGTTTGTGTTTTATCTTGTTAGAGTTTGTTTAGGAACATTTACGTCAATTAAGGCAAACTTACGCACACATCACATGTGTAGGCTTCGAACTCAAGACCTTTCGGTTGATAGTCAAAGCTCTTAACCAACAGATCAAAGTGAGCAATATTAGACTTTAAGTCATATAGATCTACAAAGCATGGCCTTTATAGAAGGCCCACAAGCTGAACGGCCCAATAAGGTGGTAGCGATAAATCTTCTTATCTACTTTAAACTTTATATATTCCTCTACTACATGCAACGAACAATTCTACTAAAGACTATAAAAATTTCCTTCCTAATTTTAATTAATACAAAAAACAATTGATTAAGGATCTTAGAGAACATTTATGATTATTTTTTTATTGTAAAATTATAAATAATATTTATGTATAACATTCAACTTCCACCATCGTATGAGCACTAATTATGAGTTAATTTATTTCATGTGAAATTCAAACAATATAATGCTAATCACAATTGGAAAGAAAAAAAAAAAAATAGATAAGGGTTTGTTTGGGACGACTATAATATTTTATATACGTGGTTGTAAAGTTACTATGGAGAAAATAGTTTTTTTTAGGTTGCTGGAGACTAATTTCTAAGTAGAGAAGTTTATTAAAAAGAGTAACCAAATAAAAATTGTGTTTGCAATATGAAAAATGAAGCTTTGAGAAAGCTATTTCAAACGAAGCCTAAATATCTATCAAGCACCCATTTTTTGTATTAAGAAAGAAGATCTACTATAGTTAAGCTCAATGTGTTGTATTTAATAATCAATAAGAATAAATAATATATTTACCAAATTAAATTAGGAATTAATATCATATTTCTTAAATTATCTAATCTCCAAACACTAAATATATTTCATGTCAAATTACCATCCTAATGAGATAAACTTGTTAACTTCCACTAATAAAATTTTTGTCTCTATGGAAAGACAAAAATGAAGCATATTAGGGCAAAGTAATTGTTCTCATTAAATTGGAGGTCGTGCTTATTGGCATAATTTTAAGATGCAATTTGAGTTGCAACTCAGGCTTCATTTGGGACAATTTTATTACTGCTTTGTTTTTCAGATTGTAATCATAGTTTATGTTTGATTGCTGCTTTTTAACTGCTTATGAGAAAATTTTGTGCTCGAAGTTGCTTTCTGCAACATCTTCACAGCAGCTTTACCGTCTTTATAAAAAACTACAGTCATCTCAAATGAATGTGTAATAGGGAGTGTGAATTTAATATTAAGATCAAATCTATAACATATATAGTAAATTTATTTTCAATTCAAAAAATTGACATCATATGTGAGATTAAAGACAATATTCTTATACACTTCAATACATTTTTTCTCATTAGAGCTCTCAACATTAATAAAATATCCCCTAAAAAAAATAAATAAATAAAAATAACTCTTCACTTTCATTGAATATATATCACTTTTAAAAAAAGCAAAATAACCCACTTAATTTCTAGTGCAATAAAAGTCTTCCTCTTGAATTTATTTTTAGATCAATATCATACAAATTCTATATGCATTACAATCCTTTTAAAATAAATCAAAAGATTTTGAATTTCATCATAACCAAAATTTTAATATTGATATAATGAGATAATTTTTTTATTAATTTTATGATGGAAGCTATTAAAGCTTTTGAATCTATTAAAATTTTTCAAATCTACTGAAGTATTAACCATTTGATCTCAATCAAATCTTCTAATATCACTCATATGAAACCCTAAACTAAAAGAATATCAAGGTTTCGTTTGGGACGGCTTTCTAATTGCTTATTAAAGCATCATTTTAGCATAAAAATTAAAATTTTTATACTATAAAGTTGTTTTAAGAAGCAACAAGAAAGTCGCCCTAAACGAAGCCTAAATTTAATTAAAAAAAAACATACTGATTGATTTATTTTCAACTCAAAAGAATTACACTTTATGAGGTCAACTCATTCAATATTTTAATACCAAGATATTTTTTTATTCAATATTATCACATGTCTTGTCAATCAAATTTCATGTCCTAATTTTCTTCCACTACACCCATGTGACAAGCCAAAGATCATGGCATGTTTATGTGCCTCTTGTGTGATGCGGTGCATCTTAAGTATAGCTTGTCTTAGGAATAATATATCTGTTTTGTACCTATTTTTAGAACTTTCTAGAAATTTTATTGTTGTATTATATATATAACTATTGTAGTAGGAAGATATAACATGACAATATCTTTTGAAATTATAGTCTTTATTGTTCTTTGCTCTCTTGAATTATTTGCATCTCCTTCTTTGATAATTTTCACTACATTGTGTTTTGTTTATTTATTATTTAAACAAATTATCTCACCTCATCAAGCATTTTACACTACAAGAAATTCAGTTATTACCGATGGCTATTACCGGCGGTTAACGATTGATTTATGGCGGTTTTGTAAAACACCGGCGGCACAAAACCACTGGTAAAAACGACGTAGGAAACGATTTCCGGCAGCTTTAAGGCGGTGGTAATGCTGGTGACCGCCGGTTAGTTACCGGCGGTGTACCGGCTGTCCAAACCACTGGTGCATCGCCGAGTGATCGCCGGCGATCGCCGGTAAACTGTTGGTTAATCACCGGCGGCTTACCGGCTGTCAGAACCGTATGAAGTACCGGCGGCTAAACCATCGCCGTCTCACCGGATAACCGCCGCTGTCCAAACCACCAGTGCATCGCCGGTAAACCGTCGGTTACCGGCTGTCAGAACCGTATGAAGTACCGGCGGCTAAACCACCGGCATCTCACCGGATAATCGCCGCCAAGCATCGGTAAACCGCCGGTAATTACCGACGGCGTTATTGAAATTCCAGCGTCTTTTGAAAGCCGTATGATATTGAGTTTTCTGGGCGGAATTGTCAGTTGACCGCCGAAAACCTATATCATCTGAAAAAAAATTGACAGACCCCCCTATAATTTACTAAATTTATCCTAAAGTCTAAACCTGCACAAAATATGCAACAAAGCTTTGACAAACATGAGCAACACACCACTATAATCAATCACAACTATTATAATTTCTACAATGTTCATCAAAACAAATAAACTCATCAAACAAATAAGAGTACTAATGTTTAAATTCAACAAATAAAGTCAATGATTACACAGAACAAGTTCATCAAATCAAATGTTTAAACCAAATAAGTTCACACATAAGTTCATCAAACAAATAAGAGTACTAATCATCCTCCGTGTCCTCATTGTATGGTGATGCATGTGGCTGCTCTTACTCTTTCTTCTTTTAATTTTCATCTCTACAGGATCGCAGCTCTGCTTCCATATCATTTTGAATCTTGTATCTCTCTCGTCAGCGCTGCAACCTCTGACTTACACTTTCTTCAGCTCCACTTGGATCATAAAATACTGAGGTGGATGAATTGCCCTCATAAGCATAGCCTTGCAAACCCAAGCCATATACCCTCCCCCTATGCCTACCTCCAACAACATCTGATCATGTATAATACTTAGAATATTGGGTCAATTCTGAAGATGATCCCTCACCAGTAGACTGATTATTTTTTCAAACTCGTATAAAATCATCCTGCGAGAATAAATCCATAAAATATATTGATATTAGAATGAGTTTTTTATATTAAATTTCTATTGCAAAACTCCAAAAAATAAACAGGAATATGGAACATCTTTCTTTTGACGACGTTCTTTGCCCGAGTTTGGCTTAAATTGATGTGCATTGTAGGTGCGATAATAAACTTTTGTTGCATCATTCTTGTAGTATAACATACATCAATTGATAAATCAATCAATTTTTATAGC